TGGTTTGATAAATTAAAAACTACTCTTATTGACTGGGGCTTTCAGAGCAGTGTTTTTGATACAAGTTTGTTCTTCTTTAAGAAAGGAACTCCAGTAATCTACCTATTAGTGTATGTAGATGACATCCTAATTACTGGGAATGACTCTACTTTAATTAGTCAGATTGTTACAGACCTAAATAGTAGATTTGCTCTTAAAACTCTCGGTGCTCTCAACTATTTCTTGGGATTTGAGGTACATAGAAATAAAGAGGGTCTATTGCTTACTCAAGCCAAATATACTAAGGACATGTTGAGCAAAGCTGGTCTCTCTGATTGTAAACCCTGTAATACCCCTATGGCTACAGGAGCCAAACTTATGAAATAAGACAGTGACCTTTTTTATCAGCCTTCACTTTATATAAGTCTTGTAAGGGGCCTGCAATATTTAACACTATCCAAAGCTGACTTAGCCTTTGTTGTTAATTGGCTAAGTTAGTTTCTTCAATATCCTACTAAAAACCATTGGACTACATGCAAAAGAGTCCTCAGGTACATTAAAGGTACAATACAACATGGTTTATTATTCACCAAAAATCAGCAGCTCACATTAGAAGGGTATGCCAATGCAGATTGGGCAAGCGATATAGGTGACAGGAGATCTACAAATAGTATTTTTCTTGGTGGAAACCTGGTTCAATGGTGCTCTAGGAAACAAAAGGTGGTTGCTTTATCCTCCATTGAGGCAGAACATAGAGCCCTTAGTCAGGCAGCAACAGAGGTTGTTTGGATTCAAAATTTATTTCAAGAACTTGGTATACACATCAACAATGCCCCTATCCTATGGTACGATAACTTGAGTGCTGGTGCCTTGTCATCGAATCCTGTTTTTCATGCCAGAACAAAGCACATTGAAATTGATGTGCATTATGTGAGAGAGCTGGCAGTTGATAAGAGGCCATCTGTCCAATATGTGTCCTCAAAATACCAAATTGCTGATGTTCTGACAAAAGCACTTGCTGCACATAGGTTTTTGATTCTTAAGGAAAAACTAAATGTGGTTTCCTCACTACCAGAAGTGGAGCCATCTAACTAAAGCAAGGAGAATGAGCAACAAATGACCAGAATGCAACGAATGATTAGACTACCCACTAGTTAAAGTACTCAACTACTACTGAGGTTTCTGTTATTGTAGAGGTATTTGAGATGAGGATACTACAAGAGTTGTTGTTTTGCAAAGTACTCAATTGCATGTTTGTAAGGATACTAGATTGCTGTATCTTTGTTATTCTCATTCACAAAATGGAGTGTTACTGAAATGTTACTACATAAGTATTTGAGATAAGAAGTATTTGGGATGAGGCTACTACGAGAGTTGTTGTTTTGCAAAGTGCTCAATTGCATGTTTGTAAGGACACTAGATTGTTGTATCTTTGTTATTCTCATTCACGAGATGGAGTGTTTCTGAAATAGGCAGCTTGGTGAAAGGGTAAATAATGCAGTTTTGCTTAAGGGGAGATGTTAAGAAGAATGTGTATGATGGATTGTTACTACTAGTAGTGTAGTTCTGTTTACAGGGAGATGTTAAGAAGAACGTGTGTGATGGATTGTTACTAGTAGGAGTAGTGCAGTTTTGTTTAAGGGGAGATGTTAAGAAGAATGTGTGTGATGGGATCTGTTTGCAAAGTTTACAAGTTTTGTAATAATGTGTATTTTGTAAATTCTACAAGTAATGATGTTGCTTTTTGTAACACCTTCTTTCTAGCTAGAATACTTGGAAAATATACTATGATAAAAATACGTAAGCATAAGATGAAAAGTAATGGGCCCAAAAATTTTCTTTACTTTAACTATATAATTCTTTACATAACAAAAATAGTATATACAATAGCTTTAATACAGTGGACAATAATGCCATTTCTCCCCGCTTCTTGACGTCCATTCGACCGCTCCTTACCTATTTCCTGCAAAACATGGAGAAACAATAGGGTAAGCATTAATTGCTCTGTAAGCAAATCCGCTAGTTTATGCTTCTCTCTCTCCGTTGCTCAATCTTTGCATTCTTTCCTTACTTTACTCTTTTTCTTTTTCTTCTTCATTCTCTTTTCTTTTTCTGTTTCTAGTTCTCTCAGTTCTTTTGTTCTAACTTTCTTTGTTCTTTCTTTCTTATTCTCTTGGTTCTTTCTTTCTTCAATTCTCTCACTAATCATGACAAAAATCATGGTAACATGCATTAATGAGATGCAAATGCATAAATGCATGGAGATGCATTTTCTTTGCTTCTTTTCTATTTCTTATTTTGTTTTCTTTCTCTTTTCTATGTTTCTTTCTTTCTGTTTCTTTTCTTTATTGCTTGCTCATTCTTTCTTATTCTTTCTTATTCTTGGTCATTCTTTTCTTATTCTTTGCCGATCGGACTCGGTTGATGCATGGATTCGGAACCCTGGCCGTGTGAGTGAGTACATTCCTCATCTACATGCACTCTTACGGACTGTACAAATTTTTTTCTTCTTAGGCCACTCAATTAAGGTGGCGTGCATGTAGGTATTTCTTCTTGGTACAACCCTTATCCACATACACTCTTACGGGCCGTACAAATTCTTCTTCTTCTTAGGCCACTCACTTAAGGCAACGTGTATGTGAAAATCTTCTTCTTCTTGTCACTCACGGGTTCCCCATCACAACAAGACCTGTTCTTTTCTTCTTTTAAAGCATTCTAGCTTTTTCTTTCTTTCTCTTTAATCTTTCTTTCTTTATTCTTTAGGTTGTCATACATATGCATATGTATGCATGTGGATGGCTCCTGCTTTTAATTCTTTCTAAGTGCAAACATGTAATGCAAAAATGCCATGTAGTACAAAAATAAGTTTTCTCTACTCATGCATACACTTCTCTTAGACATTTCATCAAACATCATGCATGCATACTCCATTTCTATTTTAACTATATTTCTACTTCTTTCTTGAACCATCCATAATTCCCCTAAAAACAAGATTAAACCTGGCCAGGAAACACAATTCAAAAATTCTCCTCAAACTCTTTCTAAATTCAATCAAACTCCACTTAATCACCATACTACCAAAACCACTTCTCGTAGCTCACTTCTACTCATCAATAACCATCTACTCATCAATCATCATCATTCTCATCAACAATTCTCAAAGTTAAAGGCATATACAATCTCTACACAATTAATTTCTTGAATCATAACTTGGGTTGGATTTTCTTACCTTGTGCTCGAGTAATTCCACTAGAATTCCGCTTCTTTGGTAGACTTGTTCTTTCTCTAAAACTTTAAGCATAAACTCTATAAGAATTCAACACTTTGACAAGATGAGAGAATTAGAGAGTAGAAGTGGCGTGTGGGGTGTAGAGAATGGGAGGGTTTGTGTGACTAAACCCTTAATATCACATATTAATATGCATTCTTTCCCATTTTGCCGTTGTATTTTCTTAAAAATTCCATCTTTACCCTTTAGTTCATTACAAATACACCCCCATCTCCAAAGCATTCTCCATGAAATTTTCTTACTTTTCACTCCCCACTTTTACTACTAATTAGGGGTAGAATGGTCACTTTGCCCCTAAGGAAAAATTCTTTAGAAACCTCTCAAGAATTTTAGCCAGCTCTTAGGCCCGGCAAAGATTTTTCTTCGCCTCGGCGAAAAATTCCAGAGCATACGTCACCGCGGCGAAATTTATTCTTCGCCTCGGCGAAGTATGATATTTTCCAACTTCGCCAATCCTTCACCAAAACTCAGGGCAACCAACAACCAACATTATTAAGAACATACAAACTTAACTAAGGGCAAACAAACAAAACGAAGGGCAAATAAGCATATTTAAGCTACCTCAAATTGGGCGTTACACTTTTGTAATATGTAACAGAGCAGGTAATACGCTGCGTTTTGTAAGGAGGACAATATAAATTAGCCCCAGTTGTTTTCTGTTAGTTAGTTATGCAGTATACCAAAATTTCAGAATTCTTCAACTTTACTCTTTACTTTTCTTCTCTGTTTTTCTTTGGTGATCCTAAAATCTTCAATAATATTGCATAAGAGTTACACATAACCCATTCCCACAAGTGAATTAATGAATGCTAGCTAAACATTTACCTTAAAGGCACAACTTTTTGGGGAAGAGGAAAGCCGTAGGCTTAAATAAGTATGGATGGTGATGGTTGTGAAACTGAACATATATATATATATAAATGAAATTTAACAAAAAAACCCTAGAAATCTCTGGAAGAGAAGAAAAGGAATAACTATTCTAACCAAATTAGCTAACTGAAGCAAAAAAGAAATAGAAATTTAGGAAAGGACAAAGGTGGTAACAGGTGCAAGTCTGAACACTGAGATGGTGTCTACTGACTTAAATACGTACCTGTCTCTACATAAGACGAGGGAGAATGAGTGGTCATGTCACCAAAGTAACATCTTATTTTCACTTATTAAAAAAAAAGTTCATAAAACTGATAATAAGAGAATTTAAATGATATTCTCATGATTATGTTATGATATTATTATATGCTATGAACAGTGTGTCACGGGGTGTATTTAAGATGGTGTGAATGTAGGTAATTCACAAAGTTTATGTATATTCCTAAGGAGGCGGAAGGAGGAGGTGAAATGTCCGAAGTTTTAAAAGAAGGGTTAGGGTTTTGGTTCGGAAATTTAGGCAAAGTGAAAAAAGAAAAAGTGAATACAACACAGCCTCTTAACTACTGAAAATAACAAGTAAGTGAAAGCTCTATCACCCCATGCACACGTCCCTTTCTAGCTCCTCTCCCCCACATCTGCCGCCTCTCTCTCTTTCTCTTATAATACATTGGGAATGACAACCACACATATATTTATCTTACAATAAACACCATGCGTACGTGACAACAGTCTACCTCTTTGTATGAATTATATTATCATACATTCAAATTCGTATTCATGTCCATGCATCAATGTATCATTTAGTTTATTATGTATGTAAATACATCCATATGACAAGTAAACAACACCAATAAACAAAGGGCACAGAACATTTCTCTGCCTTCTTATATCTACTAGACCAAATACCTCTCTCTCTTCCATACACCTTTAATTTCTTTCTTTCACAACTCAAATCAAAGAAAAGCAGATCCAAGGTGGTTGTTAAGCTGTCAATCTATCAATCAATCAATCAATCACCCAGACCAATCATCAATCAATTTTAAAAGAGAAAGAAAAAAAAAATCAAAGAAGATGTCCTCCTCTTCTACATTGTCTTTGGACCACCTTCCTCCCTCGGAGCAGCTCTGCTATGTGCATTGCACCATTTGCGACACTGTGCTCGCGGTATCATTCTCATTTTACCACTTAACCGTTTGGTTTTCCTTTGTTCACCCATTCACCTCTCTTAGGGTTAGGGCTTTCTTTTCTTTCTTTTCTTAAAAAAATATATTTCTCTCACAAGTGTATACGTTTTAGGTGAGTGTTCCTTGCACAAGTTTATTCAAGACTGTGACTGTTCGATGTGGCCACTGCACAAACCTCCTTCCTGTGAACATGCGTGGTTTGCTTCTGCCTTCGGCTAACCAGTTTCACTTGGGTCACAGCTTTTTCTCCCCTTCCCATAATCTTCGGGTATGTGATGATGAACTGCGATTTCCACTCAAAATTTCCATACACATATTATTTATATACTTGATTTGTATGATTTTATGTTGTTTTTTTTTTTTTTTTTTTACTGATTATTGTTTTGCAGGAGGAGATCCCAAATCCCCCTCCAAACTTTCTAATCAATCAAACCAACACAAATGATTCCTCTGTATCCTCTCGAGGAGTAGTTGATGAGCTTCCACGGCCCCCAGTTCTCAACAGACGTGAGATTCGTTATATTTTTCCTAATTTTCTTCTTTCTTTTTTTTCTTTAATTTCTTCAAAAAAAATTTTTTTTCATTTTATAAATTCTTAGTTTCCATGAGAATAGTTCTCTTCAATCCGCTTTGGCAATGAACCCCACACAAGAAGTGCTTTGGTCAAACGGTTTATTCCCTGTTTGTCCACCCTATTTCACCAATCGAAAAAAGTTTGATAGATTGATCATTTTGCACTTTTTTCCATGTTCGATATACAGCACTCTGTTAGAGAATCAAGAAAAGAAATCGTAAAAAGAATGACACATCTCCTTTTTTCCTCGCTACGAACAGTATTGAAGGTCTTTTGGTCTTGTGGTAGAAGTAAACGTTACCTTTTAGCATATTAATATTATGCCTGCAACCCTGTTCTTTGTTTCTATGACCATAACAGGAGTCCCACATGTAGATATAATTTTGACGCGTGCTTTCTAATTTACTGTTAGATAATTCTTATGATAAACTCTAATTATAACTGCAATATTGACCCCATCTTAACAAAGAGTATATCATACTCAGTCAGAGTTTGGTTTTTTTTAATTGAACTAACCATGCTGCTTTCGTGTTTTTGATTTCTTTTCTTTTTATTTTATTTTTAATTACAATTTCTTAGAGCTTATTCTAGCTCACAGAAAAAAGCTTCACTTGCCCACTTTGCGCTTTTGTGAGGAAACTAGAGCCCATTCTAGGCCGGAAAAACAGTTACTTAAGAATGATATATAGGGTGTTTTCTTCTCCCGGAAGTGTAGTTGGTAAAGATTCTATGAATAGAGAGATGAAAATGATGATGAAATGACATAGAGAACAGATAAGAAAATAAGCAGAGAATTCCGCTAAAAGTTAACAATGTGATTTTAACTTGTCCGTATGTCTGCCCACGTTCAGCTCCGGAAAAGAGACAAAGAGTCCCATCGGCGTACAACCGATTCATCAAGTGAGTAATGATTTCAGGCTCTTCAAAATCTCTCTCTTTTCTTATACATATACAAACTACATACATTATTGTTTATAAATATATTTATATGAATGGTCCATCAATCTGCAGGGACGAGATCCAACGCATTAAGGCTGGAAATCCTGATATAACCCACAGAGAAGCCTTCAGTGCAGCTGCTAAGAATGTAAGATCCAAGACAAATCTTAGGGTTCTTCTTTACCAAATTAGGTTTTCATTTGCATAAAGAAATTTATCAGGGTTTCATTTTATTTATATTTAAATATATACAATTTCTGACACGAGGTCATTTGACTGAACAATGTTTTGTTTTATTTTTGTCAGTGGGCCCACTTTCCACACATTCACTTTGGTCTCATGCCTGATCAGGCAGTGAAGAAGGCTAACGTGCGCCAGCAGGTGATCTGTGCACTCAACTCTTAATGTATATGCAAAATCTACATACGAGTATATGACATGTATAGAATGAAAAGTTGGGTTTTGGTTATGTGTAGGAAGGGGAGGACGTGCTTATGAAAGATGGTTTTTTCGCTTCAACAAATGTGAATGTTGGTGTTTCTCCTTACTAAGAAGGGAAGGTAGGTGATGGTGTTTCTAGGGCTCAGATCTTAGTTGCTTCTTTACCTTCTGTTTCAAGTTACTTTAATTTGCTTATTGTCTTGTAGTTTAACATGTGTACGTGGTTGATTAACTACTTCATAATCCATTATCTGCTACTTAAGCTCCTTTTAATGTTTTTATTTTACCTATTATCTATTTAAGTTTCTGTATGTCTATTTTGTTTGCCAAACACCTCGTCCTTCTATGTTTCAACATTTATTTCTCATCAATATTTTAGTTTTAACTACTCTTGCATATTACTTTTCTTTTTTCATTAATATTCCTAATTAAACATTTACTTATTGTAATATAGGCGGATCAAATTACTATATAATATGCATTTCGATGTTAATCCGGATCTGGCTAAGTGAAAGTATAGGCTAACGCAAAAACTTTATTTAGGCCTTCTTATGAAAAAAAAATTATTATACTTTTGTATATATCCAAATTCCTATACCACAGTAAACTTTTTATTATTATAAATAATCTGTATTATTTTGTTAACAATCCAAATTTGTTAGGTTCTAAGATTACTCCATTTCTTTTTCTATAATCATACATAGGGGTGTGCAAAATTTTTAGGTAGAACTAGAACCAATGGGTACCTAGGGTTTCAATTCAAGTTTCTAATTGTGAGGAACCGGTACTATGCGGTGTTGGTACGGGTTCCACCTGTTCAAGGAATCGAAACTGACCTAAGAATCAGAATCAGAATCGAGATCTAGGTATCCGAGTTGGAATAGGTTTAAGAACTAGGACTTAACTAAAATTTTAGCAAAAAATGGGGACTATTTTGTAATTTTATGTTTCAATTTCAAATAAGAAATTGCGATGTATGAATTGGGGAAAACTGGAAGATTCTGCCTCTCACTTCGATTCTTCGACTGGCTCTCAATTCCGTAAGAATCGTGCGATTCTCTTCTGTTCGCAAAGGTTGCCATCAATTGTCTCCAACGAAGGTATTTCCTAGTTTAGGATTTTCAATTTATTTAATTTAGGGGTTTCATTTAGGGTTTGCAAAAACACCAATGGGGAATATCTGTGCTTGGAAGCTCTGGCCAACTCAGTTCAGGCTTGTTTATTTCTATTAATTTCTATTCATTTTAAGATGAAAATTTTGATTTAGGGACTCTAGAACCTGAACTTTGGACTCTAGTTTGAGGAATTTTGGATTGTAGAAGATTAAAGAATTTGGAGGTTTTCACTAAAAAAGAATTTTGTTTTTAAGTTGAAATCTAGCTTTTAATGGTTAATGGGTTGATAAAGAGAGGGGGGAGATTTTCTAGTCAAAAGATTGAAAATTTTCGGTTGATCATTTTTCTCTTTTTGTTTGAGGAATAGTGAATAATGCTAAGTACGAGGAACCACATAGCACCGGTTCCAGTTCCTGAATCCCAGGACTCGATACTGTGTAGGTCTGGTGTCAATTCCTAGGATTTTGGCCGAGTACCTGAACCCGCTTACCCCTAATAATACATGTAGCATTGAAAAGAAAAATTATGAAGAAAATAGTTGTAGATGAAAAAAAAAATAAAAAAAACTTATAAACTAATTTGAAGTTTAAATCTCACTTCTACTTAACTTTATAGATGATTTTTTTTCCTTATACTTTCACTTAATACTCCCTTAAACAATAAAACATTGAATTAATAAACTCATAACATTGGAGGTTACAGTGCTTATAATTATCAAGTAAATAATAAATAAAATTTCATTGAAAAACAAAACTTAATTAGAGGATGGATCAATGCTTTCAATGCTTGGCTTTAGAATGAATCCTATGAGATATAAGTTATAATGGACTAGGCTAATATGAATGGTTAAGTTGTCATTTCACCTAAGAGATTAAGCTAGTAAGTAAAGATTCAACATTATATTTGTCCAATAGACTTCTCAAATGAAACTAAACTTGATGGGACTTTTGATTTTCAAATAACAATAGCCTATAGATTCATTCGTGAAAGATTTAATTCCTTTACCCAATGGCGGATCCAGGAATTTCACTCGATGGGGGCAAAAAATAAACCAAAAAAAATTAAAACCAATCATATTCATACTTTTTTTTTTTCATTATGATGAGCTTCAACAAAAAGTTACAAAATACAAATAAATATCTTTAAAAAACACAATTTTTGTAAAAATAAAACAATTTTTCTACAATTGTCCTCGACGAGTTTTCATATTCTGAAAACATTGGATAATTATCTCATCATCAACTGTATCAAATACATCTTTCTCAATATAGGTGACTAAGCAATCATTCATCTATTGATTTTCCATTCGATTGTGTAACCAACTTTTCACAAGATTCATTGCAGAAAAAGTCCTTTCAATGATCACAGTCGCAGCTAGTAAAACCAATGTAAGTTTCACAAGCTTATACATCAACGGATACAAAATGTCTTTTTTAAACTAAACTAAAATCTTAGCCCAATCGCTAATTCCTTCTAACTTAGCAAAATTCATCACAAGGACGTCTGTCAATAACAGAAGTCCTAGTATGGTTCTCAAGTACCATCAACTCAAGTGCAGAAAAATTAGTTGGATAAAACTAGGCAAAACAGATCCACTTATGCTTGTCAAAAGCAGAGAATGAAATACTTGGATCTAAACATGTCATACAAAGAAGCAACTCAGTACTAACCTTAGTGAAATGAGTGTTAAGTTCTTGAAGTTTCATATCTATCACTATATAAAACAATTCAAGTCGATAGTGATGCAAATTTTTCATGTGCTCAACTCTTCGTCGTGGCCGCCTTCGAATTGCAAACATATCATCCATATTCAAAATGACAATATTATGTTTTTGGAAAAATGAATAAATTTTACTCAACAATGATTTTCATCCTTCATCTCTCAACAATTGTAACTGTTGTTTTGGAGTTGTTGATTAGGGCCATAACATTTACAATGTCTTGATCTTTTCTCTACAATGCTTGTGACAACTCATTAGTAAATGCAAAATCAAAAGAATAGATTACATCTAATAGATTTAGGGGTGAAATCGAATCAAGTCGAGTATTTGGTCAATTGAACTCAACTCGATCTCTATGGTACTGAGTTCGAATTCGAGTTCAAGCCTGATCGAACCTGAGAAATCAAGTTCAAACTCGAACTCGGTACTTGAAATTGGAAATCGAGTTTGAATTCAAGTTCGTATAATCGAGCTTTTTTCGGGTTTTAGTCGAGTTTTAATCGGGTTCAAGTTTGAACTTGATTTCAAGCTCATCTAACAGGGGTGCATTTGCAAATTTTATAACTTTTAAATTACATATAACCCCTATTACTTTAAAAATTGTCAATTTAACCATCGAGCTTGTAAATACTCTCAAATATACTGAGTCAAGTTTTACTCGATTAACTACTCAAACTTGACTCGACTAATGCGGAGTCGAGTTCAAGCCAACATCAAGTATAGTTTGAGTGGCTCGACTTGATTTTCACCCCTAAATAGATTACATTCTTCACCCTTTTGATCAAGATTTAAACCATTACGTGCAAACCCAACAGCTCTTATTCCTTTCATTTTTACTCCTAATAAAATTTTTAAAAACTAATAGATCCCCTTACATAAAAGTAAAAATCACAAAGAATATGTAATAAATATATTAGAATTAAAAACAGGGTTTTACAAAAACAAAATCCAAACTTACCGTGAGGGTTGGCTATTCCGTTCTCAAAATCTCAAAGATCTATAAGGATAAAATTTAAAATAAATAGAAAATCTGAAATGTTTAAAAAATTGAGTGAGGGCCATGGTCCCCACTCGTCATTCATTAAATCCACCCCTGCCTTTACCAAGTGAATTAATCCTAAGTGGAATGGGTTGTTAAGTTGATTTTAGTGTTCATTCTTCATCATTGCAAAACAACCAACCACGAAACAAAATAAAGAACACTAGATTTTTACATGGTTCGGTAACATGCCTACATCCATGAGACCAAGTTCAGATGAAGCCAATTCACTATAGTAAATATTTATAGTTCAATTACAAAACCAAAGTTAAGCATCAGTTGCAAGAACACTCCCTGTTTTACAACGCTTCAAACACCACCCTTTGGTCAAACTTCAAACTACCACAGCAAGCTCCACGTTCACAAGACCACATGGTTAGCCTTAAGCTCCTCTCAAGGATCAACACCAAATATGCACTTTAGCTCTAAAAGTTTGAAATCCCATCAAGCATCACCAATGGAAACCCACGTTCCAGCCATGAACAAATAAACAAAGTTTATGCAAGGTATTTGTAAGCCTACCTAAGGCATATGAAACCTGATTCAAAACAAAAGAAACCTCAAGGAATTTTCAGAGTAATATCAGAGGAATAATCAGGTTTGAAAAGAATTGCATTGGAGGAGACGAATATATAGAAAACTTGGGCTCCAATGCAAAGGGACAAGTGGCAAGGAATAATCTTTATTAAATTCACCTTTATAAAAGTTTATTCCAATATAAAGATGTCATCTATCAAAGAGAATAAAACTTTTGATCACATTGAATATGAATTTGACAAGTGTTATGAACCACACAAATATCTCAAAAGAGAATATAACAGTTCATGCATTCTAAAAGCATAACATGTGTTACCCAAATAAAACTGCTAGATACGTTGTGATCACTCTAACTCAGAGGTGGTCACCCGGTATAACATATACCAACATAATTAAAGGTGATCACTTTTAACACAAGGTCGTTATACTGGAACTTTAAATAAGAGTGATTGTGCAAAAATCAAAGTGAGGTGTTCATACTATGACTAGTGTTACACCACTAGAATCATAAGTTGAAAAAATAACTTACAATTCGTATTTATGATGTTTATTTGCTGTTGCATTATAACATATTGGCATGGCTCTTATTGTCAGACATAAGAACTATTTGTCTATAAATTCCTAAATTAAATCAATGATGACCTAATTACAGGCATGTGTTTAAATTTAATATTTAGTAGCTTACATTTGAAGAAGTAAAAACTTCTTCTATTAATAAGCAAATTACAAATTTTAACAATTATATATATATATATATACTAATTGCAGATTTCTTAAACGATTGTGATGCATTGTATACACATAACTAGACATGGGGCCCACACGTTACGTGGATATGTTTATTCAATGTTTTTAAAATAGATTGTAAACAAATTTATTCTAACCAAATAAACTAACTAGATTAAG